AGCACCAGATCTCTTTGGGGTTAGTAAGTGCATCAGAAAGTGAAACTTGAGCTTAACCCTCCAGGAAAAACCGAACGGAGATGCTCCACAGGGAGATACCCCGCCTGGCCGCGGCTTGGACAGCATTGGTTCCCAGCCGTCTCGTCAAGTCCGACTTCCATCATCTGCAGGGTTTTCAGAGCTGTCCACGTGAGTTCAGTGACGGTAAGTCCCATTGTTCTAAAGTGTGAGTCGCAATTGTCAGCAAAAAGATCGGAGCAAAAGAGAACTAGTGCGTCCTTTACACACACAATGCGGAGAGTCGCAAAGCTGTCAACGAGATGAACAACCCTCTTACTCAAGTGCCCAGGTCTCTGGGCGCACCACTGGAGTCCCAGGAGGAGGGCTCGGCTCTCATCTCAAGTGCATTGACGCGGCGATGGTGTGTCCATTGCTTGGAGAAGATTTGTTTCGATTGCCACCAGACAGCTTCAACACTTTGTCGCAAACTTTTAGAAGGGCCGGGTCATCAGCTCCCCTGTAGGGCAGGGATGCGCACATCAGAGCCAGCGTCAAGGCAAGCTTGTTTACCGAAAGATGTGACCCCTCTATGCTGAGGCCCAAAGCTTAAGAGGAGCTCTCGCTCGCCAGAATTTGCACACCGCAGGTTTTCCCCATCCTTTAGCAGGAACTTTAGCTTGCACTGGCAAGGAGGGAAACGAAACTCGTCGTCGCGCCATCGACTCTGAGCATCAAGGGGGACGCGAGAGTAGAGAGCCCAGCAGGCCGAGGCGGCCAATTGCCACTTGAGCCCGCCACTTCCAGAGCCATGAGTCTCCCAGCAAGAGCATCCGCGACCTCGTTGAGGCAACCACTTTGCAGCAAGTCTGCGCACCTTATCAGAAGGTAGAGCCCGTGCAAATCACGTTCCCGGGAAAAAAACTTCTCCTTCTAGAAATAGTTGGAAAAACACAAACAGCTTGACCTGTCAGCTTGACCTCCCCTTCCCTCCTGCGCCCTGACCCTCCTCCCTCTTGGAGAGCATTGATCGGGCGTGCGCCAACCGCCCCTCCATCACAAGAAACCAACTCCTTCACAGCGCTTGAGGAGCTGCTGCCAGAGCTTCGAGAGCACGCGCTCGGCGGGTCTCTCCTTCTTCCTCTCTTCTTCCTCCCTTTTCTTTTTCTCCTCCTCCAAGTCACTTCCGCTGATCCAGAGCGCTTCCGCTCTAATTTCCTGGACAAACTGACCCCAGCACTTCTGGCTGGAGGATCTCCTGCCTTTCTTGCTCCCGGTGCATCCTTTTCGTCAGCGAACTAGCTTGCGCAAAGAATAGACCTGGACGGGGCGCAGGAAGATCCTGCGCTGGCTTTCAACTCGGCCAGCCCTCCGAAAGTCGCCTCCTAGACCAGCTCCGCCCCGTGCTCCCAGACCTCCCTCTTCTCAAGGCTCGCTCTCCTGCAACCTTTCCTCCACTTGCCTCTCTTCAACTCCGGCTCATCCTTGTCGCCGCATTCTTTCCAGAGGGCGTGTTGAACTCATTCAGAGCTCTCACCCCGTGGGTGGCGCACAGCGCTCCGCTCTAAGCAAGGGCCCTGATCAGTTGTTTCTCGCTGCGTTTTCAGGATTACCTCGCGGAGACCGTCGACCGGTTGCCGCCCTCGGGGTTTTAAGCCACAAGGAGGTGAGATGTTGTGCAAAAAGGGTGTCTAGGGACAAACGAAAATGCCTCTCCCGGATGGCTCCGCGAAACCTGGGCGCCTTTTAAACGTGAAAGGGGGAATGCCTCGCTTGATGCATGCCGAGGACATTGTGGTGTGGCTGCCTCCAACTCAAATCCTGTCCAGATCCTAAGGCTTTCGTAGGAGAGGGCAATCCACTTGCTCCTTGGGAGCTGTGTGGGGAGCGCATTCCTCCTCTCTGCTCCTCCAGTCCATCATGCCAGTTCTCCCTCATAGGAAGCGCGGTGGCTCAGTTTTCCTTTCCTTGATGCCTGCGCCCGCTCGATGTCGGGGTCCTTCTTCTTCTTTTTTCCTTTGACTGGCAAGGACTTGGTCGCTCCTCCTCAGACCCTCCAATCTAATCAGGATCGGCTCGAAGCTTGGGGCAGCTGCCTTCGCTGTACTACGCAGCTCACCCGCCGTCCTCGTCGTCTTATCAGGAGCAGCAGCCGCTGAAGCAACGTGGAGCAGCCACGGAGGGCCTGCCCGCAAAGGGGAGCGCGAACCTGCCTAGCTCGCCAAGAAAAGTGGGCCCCAACTTGCCCAAACGTTTGAGCTGGCGAACAGCGCTGAGGATCAACTCCGCGCCAAGCTTTCTTTCTGTGTTGTAATCCCTCGAAGATGCCATTTTGGCACGATCCCTGGATTCAACCCCTTCCCCTACACCAGCCACTGCAGCCATCAGGGAAAAAGTGCTGCCCACACTGGTGACCTTATGACAACACAGCGCGGGAGCAAAGCTTGCCACCTTCAACTTACGCATATGCCACTGACTTCACCTTACAGGAGCCAGTGCGCCAGGCTTGTCTGTCTATTGCCCGTCAAGATACTTCTACTGGCGTTCTCCTTCCATGGTCATCTCACCGACCGCATTGTCCCGGCCCATGAGTTTCCGCCACCCATCGAACACTCCATCATCCCAATCACGCTGGCCATAAAACCTGCCAAGGACTCCGTAGCCAAATTTCCTCCCAACCATGTGACCCGTGATTTTCTTGGCGCTGCTTGTAGAATTTCTTAGCCAGCTCGGCTTCCATGAAATCATCCACTGAGAAGTCTCTTACGATGGACATGTCGCGCTCATCCCATTGCTCTGGCGCGCCCCATCCTGTTCTTGGCACGGTGGAGCTGACAGAAGTTCCCTCACCCTCGTTCATGCCACCGCTTCCCTCCTCTGCAGGTTCTGCTTGCGTCTCATCGACATTTCCACCACCATCTGCCGAGGACGCCGCCGCTGGATCATGATCATCATCTTCTGCTTGACGCACATTCACATTGTACGACAACCTTTCTCCTGGCTTGGTCCAAAGAGCCAGTTCTCATTCTTGATTACTGCACCCGGCCCCCTTCTCCTTGGACTAGCACTTGTCTTCTTGCCCTCTTCATCCTCCCCTGCTGGAATTCACAGTTGCTTGCCACACACGACTCCCAGGAGCGCAGGGAAGCCGCTCTAAAGTCCTCCCATTGCTGCTGTTCCTCCTCCCGCATGATCTCCGCTGCTTGTTCCTCCAAGAGCTCGTTGTGATAGATGACTTCCTTCTCCTCTGCCGTCAGCTCCCTCTGAGCGCCGTTCTCCTGCACAACCACGTGCTTTTTGTTTCCTTCTGGTAATGCTGGTTCCTGGCTATCCACAAACTCTATAGCTTCCTCACGAGCGCTTAGCTTCGGTGGCTGCGATGATTTTTCTTCTTGTTGGTCCCTTCCCTCTGGCGGCATCTGCTCCAGGTACGGTCTGGCCCTCTGCCAAGTTTGCACGCACCACTGATGCTCATCACCGCATTCTGTTTTGGCGCGTCATCCATTGTTGGAAGCACGCTTAGTTGTAACTTCTTTTTTGCTTACTTGTAACTTTTAGGGTTTTGAACTGGATTTAGTT